AAAATATCTGTAAAGAAAGTGTTCTTACCAGTTCCTTGTTTTCCAATTATAATGAGAGCAGTTTCATTTTTAGCACTTGGATGTTGTAAGATGTTTGCAAACCAACATAAGATATACTCATAGACTCTTTCGTTTCCATTGCATATAATTTCTTTGACATGGTCTAACCAAGCTTCTATAACATTTTCTTTCCATTCTACTTGTTCGTATTTATATCCAGTGAAGATAGAATAGAAGTTTGGAGAAGGTGTATAGAACTTTATACCCACGAACTGAAAAATCTTCTAACTTTGACAATAAGATATCCCAAGCATCTAACATCTTCATACCAACTTGTACAACTTTTATTTTCTTAAGTTTCTGTCTACATTCTTGTTCTGAAACTATGGTTGCTCTTGGTTTGTTAAAGACAACATCCCATTCTTTCATAACATAACATTCTGGGGCAGAGTCGACATAAATGACTAAACGTTTCAAATTCTCGACTGCTTTGTTATAGTCTCTAAATGGACACATATTTCTGAATGCTTGGAAGTCATAAAAATCTGAAACATCTATTCTGTACATTTTTATAAAAATAAAAAAAATATTTTTTTTATTCTTGACTTTTGTTGCATTTGTTGTTCTTGAGCTATTTGTTGTTGAAGTTGTTCTTGTAGTACAATACTTTCACCAGTTGCATCTTCCAATTCGAAACTTTCTGCCGTCATTGACAAATACATAGGACATAAAAGTTTTACAGGAACAAAGTTTGCGTCAACTAAGGTTAAGTTTATGTTTGCTAAAGTGTTTGAGTTTACTAAAGCTGAAAACTCTGCATTCGAATGAACAATAGGCAAACCAGCAGAGAAAGTGTTGTTTATACGCATGAGTATCTTTTGGTCATAGTAGTTTCTGTCACATTCGAATAGCACTTTGAACCTAAGTTTGAAACAATATATAAAATAGGTGTACTTAAAGTCAATGGAACAGACATTCCTTGTATGACACCTTTTCCTGTTATAGGAAACTGTTGGTAGTAAAAACCAGAAATAAGTTTTGTATTATAGCTCATATCGTTTATAGTAAACTCAGTCGGACATCCAAACATAATGAAACCTGCTCTAGTTGCAGCACATGTTACATCGTCCTTAAAGTATTAAATAAGTCAACAAAACCTGTTGGTGGTATATCTGAGTAAGTATCTTCAAAGAGTATTTTTTACCATTCACAACAATAAAGTCTTCTGGTGTCAAAAGAGCAAAACAGGCTTTAGTCGTCATTGTGTTTAAGGTTAGTTTACAATATCGTCCTTGAGGACTTTGTAAGTTTGTTGTTATAGAATTATATGACTCAGGGTTTTTAGTCGTAATAGTATAAACCACTATGTCTTCTGCCATTTACTTAGCAAATAAATTTTAATGAAATGTTGTGGTCGTCAAATATTTTTATGACGTCTGGGAAACTATATTTTAAGTTCAACGTTTCACCTCCTTTCATAACGTATATCTTGTCAATGACATTATATGAAACACCACAGCAAGCAATGTCGGGTTCTATTTCTTTGATGTTTATATCGTCTGCCTCTGTCAAAAGTTTCAATAGTTCTTTCAAAACTTCATGAGGTGCAATGACATATGAGTTCACTTTTACAGGGTTGTGCGACCAAGTTTAACATTATACCCAAAGCTTGACAAATCTTCTCCTGAGTTTTAAGTTTGTCTTTAAGTTGTTGGTAGTCGTTTCGAATATCTGCAACAGAACTTAAGTCTCTGCTAACTTCAGGGTATGTTGGTTCTTTTACAGGAACTATTGTTATACCATCTTCGTCTTCGTATGGTTTCCCCACTTCAACATCTCTTTCTTTGACATTGACAACAACACTTTGACTGTTTGTTTGAGTTGGTGAATTTAACTTCACATCTGCCATCGCCATTAAACCTTTTGAAACACTTACGCTTCTATTTTTCGGAAATGACATTTACTTAGAATAAAAAGATGGACGTATTTGAGTATCTCTTCGAATTGAAGCAGAACAAAGTTTACACACACAAACAATACAAGTTCATTGACAGAATAGTTCTTTATACAAACAATGGAAAATGTTATAGAATAGCAGTCTTTGCTGAACCAAAATATTTTCATAAAGCAAAGAAAGTTGGTATAACTGAAATGGTGAAAGTTCTTGAAGCAGACAAAAATATAACAACAAAACTGACCGATATTTCTAAAGGTAAGTTTATCTACAATATTATGTCAAAACTGGCGTACTGTCAATATTTGACGGAGAGAAGTCAGTTCAAGAACAACTTACTGACCTGCTGCCAAAATCTGCTCGATGGAAGCTGTCGTTATGCCAATCTGAGGAGCCCCAGCAGGTTTCATCGAACGAATCTTCAAAAGAGCATCTTCCGTGAAAAGTGCTATTGGTTTTGTAAACTTCTTTGCTCTCAATTCATCTGGACCGTCTCTGTCACCAGTATATTGTATTTGAACTGTACCAACAGTTGAAATACCACCCATAAAGTCTTCTGAGTCAGCAAATGGAATGCCAAGCCAAAAGTTTGAACGGTCTCCATTTGTATATTGAGTTTTTTGACCTCCTGTATGAGTCCATACTTTCACATATGGCATAATAGAACTTTGCATTTCAGGGTTAATGGTTGTTGTGAAGTTGTTGTTAAAGTTCATAGCATCTAATGTCAAGTTGTATGACCTCATATCCTCAACTGTAGAATATTCTTCTCTTGGATAATATTTGCCATCTATGTTTATATGATATTTAATACCAGGGTTGTAGAAACAAGAATAGTCATTTATAGTTCGTCTGAACAGTACAAACATAGTATCTGCATGTTTCATTGCAGTTGTTAAGGCAATATCTGTTCTTGCACCTGGGTCAGCACTTTGGTTTCCAACTTCACCTGCAAAGTCTTTGACAGATATTTGGTGTATAGGGAACATAAGTGGAACTGCAATATATTTGGCAGCTAAAGCATTTGAAATATCTGGGTCCAACATATAGACTGCAAGTCTGCTTTCTATTCTCTTGCATTCAAATTTTTCGCATGTGAACTTAACTGGGTCCCAAGCATCTCCAGCAGCATTGAAATAATAGTTTACTTCAGTGTTGAGGTTTGAGAAACCAAAGTCTAAGTCAACTTTGTTTTGCAAAAGTCGGCGAATGACTTGTTCCACCTTCTGTAAGAGTGAATGGGTCTTGTGTTGGTGCAATGACTAAGTTATTTTTGCTTGGAGTAAGTTCGATAGAAATTTTTCCTGCCCAGTTTGGCAAGTATCTTAAAAACCTGAAGATGAGGAAAGATGACAAAGGAACTCTAAGTTTCAGTTTTACTTTGTTACTGCTTTCCATCTGTCCAGAAAGGTTAACATAAACTCCTGGAACGTTAGGGTCAAGTCTTCTTATTTTCTCAATAGTTGCATACTGGTCTGTTTGTTCTCTAGCTTGTGGTTGTACTGAGTTTCTCAAAGCGAACCATTCATAGTTTGCCCATGTTACTGTTTGAACTAAGTCAGAGTTAGAATATATCTTATATCCCATGAAAACTTCTGGAGCATATTGGTATCCGACATAGAAAATTCCATTGCAACCTTTCTTGTCAGACAACTTGGCAGAAGGTTTTATTTCAATGTCTTGTTCCACGTATAAGAAAGAGTTGTCAATAGAAATTATATGAAACCTGTCGCAAGCAATATCTACTGTTGTTGAAGAACCTTCTCCAAACTCACCTACGTTTCCATAAGAAACAGCAGTTGTATATTCGTAAGTTCCAGGAACTATTTCTGACCTTCTAATGGCATTGTCGCATTCGTTATACCATTCGGAAACATTTCCATTCATGGCATCCAAAACTGTTGGCGTTATATTCTGAGCGGCGTACATTTCATATGAGTAAAAATATAGAATAGTTGGATTTATATGTCATAATAGAACCCACGTGACCAAGCTTTACTTTCTTCCTGACTGAGTTTTTAACTCTTCTTTTTCCTTCATTGCCCTCTGCTTGAAGTTGTTGCATCTTTGCATTATGTTCATCTAGTATGTTGCAAATTTCCCATGTCCTTTTTGCCTTTTGGCTCTGGTCGCCCATCTCAGGTAACCTATATCCTAGAAAGAGTTTGTCATAGTCTGTATTTGAGTCTTCGCGTATTGTTTGCATGACTCTTTCCTGAGTTTCCGGTTCAAGCGCTTCAAACAGTGCCTGTCCATATGGAATAAGCTCGTTTCCAAATATATGTTTTTGTAGCCATTCTGGTTTTCTTTCCATGTTACCAACTATATCTTTTGTGAATGGGAAAGCTTTTACCCAATCTTTCAGTCTTGCGTCGTTTATTTCTGTAGTTGGTTTTATTTTGTCAAGGAACATGTTTTTCAATACTAACATTTCATTTGGTACTGTCCATTTGAGTTTTCTTAAATATTCATCCCTTCTCAGTTCATTGTCTGCAAAGTAAGTTTTTATGACATTTTGTAAACTTTCGTTTGCAAGGTCATGTACAATAGGTTCTCTTCCTTCTCTCTCCCTAACTTTCTTTCTAAACTCTTCACCAAATATACCATCTTTATGGTTCTGTGTAGTTCTTTGAGATAAATGTTCTAGAACGTCAGGTGTTATATTTCCATCAGCCATGTTCATTTCATACTGGTCCAAAATATCTGCATGTTTCATATCTTTCAATGGCATTAAAGCCGCGCTGAAAATACCAGCTATATCTGGTTCACCATTGACTTCCATTGCGTCTACAACTTCTTGGAATTGTGGTTGTAAGTTTATGAACCACCTATCCGGATTAGCTTTATGACCCCATCTCATTGTAGTTCCATCGTCTGCAGAAACAAAAGTAGGTTTGTTTCCATCTTGGTTAGGTTCTGAATGAACTTTAAACAATGTTTCATTTCTATATGTTTTCTTGAAATTTAACCTTTTATTTTCACCGAGTTCATCCGAAGATTGAACGTTAAATGCTCGTAAGTAAAAAGGGTTGTTGTATTTGTGTACATTTTTTTTCAGTTCTTCCATTCTATGCTGGATATTTTCATCTGATGTTGGAGTCTTTTGTATGTCGGCAAACATTTTTCGATATTCTTCTACTATGTCAGCCGAATTTTTTTTAGACTCTTGGAAATATTCCATATTCTCCGCATACTCTTGTTGAGGGTCAAGATTTTTCGGCTGTTCCAAATCTTCATCTAGTTCTGTGAAGTTAGTTTCCAAAGGAAGGACTTGTTCGTTTCCTTCAGGCTCTTCTAGCTGTTGTTGCTGAACTATTTCTTCCATGTCTGGTTGTATCTGAACTTCTTCCTGTGGAGTTTCTTGTACCTCATCTGCTGGCATTTCATATATTCCGAGACCGTTTTCAACAATTTCCCTATCTACGTCATCCGCATTCATAAGCTTTTGTTCTTTCGTTCCGTCTCTATTTTTTACGCGTTTCATGACGAAAGTTGAATTGTCATTTAGCTCTGACATCAAATATCTCGGAGTAAATTCATCCATGTCATTTGGATGATATGCTATTAAATCATATCCCTTAGCGAGCTTGTATTTTCCAGGTTTGAGATTATATCCGTTTTGGTGCTGAGCCATAAAGCTAAATAGGTTCGGGTCAGTATTTCCATCCTTGAACTTTCTAATAGCTTCTTTATATCTGTCACTAAAGTCAACAGTATCTGGGAAACCACACTCTTCTTTAAGCATTTTTAAGAATTCTTGGTTTCCTTGTTCTCTACTTCTTTTATGTCCTTGCTCTGTTTGTGGTTGTTGTTGTGCAGGGTTTTGAACTGTTGGTTGCTGTGCTGGTTGTTGTGTTGGTTGTTGTGCTGGTTGTGGAGGTGGTTGTTGTGCTGGTTGTTGTGCATGCCTGTGTCTGTGTCCATGTGACGATGTAAATGTTTAGGTAGTCCTGGTGCAGGTGCTTCTCTTGGAGGGTTTGGTGGTATATAAGTTCCACCAGCTGGCACATATGTTCCATCTGCAGCGTAATGTCCTACCTGACTTTTCGTTTTTAAGAAAGCATTTACTAGGTCTGTTTTGGTCTGTTGTAACTCTTTTTCTTGACTTTTCACAACAGTTGCTCTAACGGCGTCATAGGCACTTTGAACTGCCTGTCTCGTTGCTGCATCTGTTATTTTCGTCATATTTTGTGCTACTTCTTTTAACTCTTTGTCGAAACCTTCAGACTTCAGTTTCTTTCCAGATGAGAAGTCGTTCACTTGTTTCACCTTACTATGAAGAGCTTCGAAAGCGTTCTTAAAGTCAGCATTTGTTAAAGCTTCATTTGAACTATCTTCATCCGCTTGTATTTTTGTCCTTATTGACCCTATGAGTTGGGCTGCTTTAGCGTTGGCTTGGGCATCTAACCAGTCATTGTTAGCTTTTATATATTCTGCGCTTTTCATTGCCTTTTGCATGCCGCGTCGTTATTTTTACTTTCTTGTGCTAAGTTTTCATACTGTACGGTTTGGTTTTGCAACTGTAAAAGTTTTTCTGCCTTTACATTTGCTTCAACTTCTTTTTTATACTCATCGCTATCCATATATGTCTTCAGGGCTTTTTGTTTTATCTCTTCATCTTTCAGTATTTTATATTGAGTAGTATGGTTTTTCAAATTTATGACATCTTGTTCCATTTTTGCTACTTCTGCTGCTTTTTCTGACACTTTTTTCGCATATTCCTCTGTACTTAGTTCTTTCAGTTGTTCTTCTTTCTTCTTTTTCTCTACGTTTAACTCATTGAGTTTCTTTGTGTGTCTGTCATATTCTAGTTTCTTTTCGTTTTCACTTATTTGTTCTGTATGTCTATGTTTGACTTTTTGACATCTGTTATTTGATTTTTGAGTGAACTCAAATTCATTTGACTTTGAGGGTTATAAGCTGTTCCGTCTGCAGCTCCACCATAGCCTGCCATTTTCGCTAAAAGTGCCGCTCTTAAACCTCCACTCTGTGCACCAATAACTCGGTTTAAAAGCATAGGGTTGCTTGACATTTGTTGCAACATAGTGGGGTCATTCATATTTGTTGTTGCAACTGTTGTTGTGGTGTCAGTTTTACTATTGGATGTTTCAATGCTCTCTTCCTCTTACGTATATTCTTACGTAGCTTACGTGGCATTTTAAGTGAAGTTAAAAAACGGTTTTTGACAGATGTTTATATGACACTTTTTGTTCAGCACAAAAAACTACTCGGTCAAAGTGTTGTCAGTTTTGTAAAATAACCGTCCTATCTCATTCTATAAGGGAAAAGGCTTCTCAAAGTATACTTCCTTGGAACGCCTGTAACTTTTCCTGTAGCGACGATAGACCCTTACTTGTCCGGACAAAGTTATACTATTTTGAGTGCTCTACAAAAAAGTCAACGGCGACGACTCTCAAAAACCGTTGTGTAAAAAGTTTTACCGTTGGACAAAAAAGTATATATAGAAAACAAAAAACGTTTATAGTTCATTCAATATTTGAGATGGAACGGTTTTCCAACGGTAACTATTAAATAAAATAAAAAAATAGAGGGGGTTACCGTTGACGAAAACGGTTTATTTAAACTTTTCTATGAGTAGTCCGAAAAAAACAGTTCATTTTTCATAATGTACGCGTCTCGAACAGTGAAGCCCAATTCAATAGAATACTATCTCGAAAAACAAGAAGCTGACACTGCTATTCAGTCTTTAATACAGAACCAAGCTCAGGAGAACTCAAAAGACTCCCAATTCAAATCGACATCCAATTCGAAGCAATTAAAACTTGACTCGAATGTTTTAAAACCACAGCCCGCACGAACAAATACAGCTCTAAGAATAGACCAAAGAATACCGAACAAAGAGTTGAGGTCAAGATTGAAATTACAATCGGATGAGTATTTTTCCCTTAACAACCAGGGAAATACTCCATATAACCGTATCTACACAAATACCGTTAAAGAAACAATAATGGCATACACAAAACTCTGTCAATTGGTCCCCAACCAGGACCAATTGACGGACATTATATGTTCCTACCTTCCCATATTTGCTGAGTGTGTGGAAGGTAGGACATTGTTACAAGCTTGCTTACGTATGCCACCAAATCTCCGTCAACAATTTGCTCAAATTGTACATGAATTTAAAGCTTTTAACAACGGATACGATGAAGATGAAGTAGCAGATGAATTTGGGGAAGAAAAAACATTTTTCCCCTCATATAATACGCCTGCAACAGTATTTCCTACTAATGAATTTCACAACTATTGTGTCGTTCATTTAATTGTTGTGGATATGCCCACAGGTGAAGACATTCTCAGTGGTGACTTCATCGAAGTCTGTATCAATACAGAATTGGGAGAAGATGAGTTGCACAAATTCTCCAACGTCGAACATATATTCAAACCAGCACACCAACTCTTTATCGAAACTGAAATAACACTCACACAAAATATGTCCATCTCATTTAAATCCAAATCAGGACGTCCATACAGAATTTGGATGAACTACGTCCTCCTCCACTACGCCGACGATGACGAAGAAGAGGAAGAAGAGGAGGAGGAAGAAGAAGAGTCCTCCGAATTCACACCAGAAGACTAACAATTTTCCGAATAAAAACCTCATTTTTTTACTAAACATCTTCGGGGCTAGAAGGGGCGCAGCCCCTGGAAGCCCCACTACCTTTTTTTTTTTTTTTTTTTTTTTTTTTTATCATCTGCGTTTCAATTGAAAAACAATACATTTCTTTTAGACTCACGTCTTCACAATATTTTTGAGGATTTCATATATATGAATATTAAAGCAATTTTATAATCTAACAATATATGAAAATTTATGTAATCTTCGGTTAAATTATCTGGCCTCTATGACTAGGCCACATTATTAAATTGTAATAATATTGATTTTTATTTCAATATATTCGCAGAAAATTTCTCTAATTTCTAATTACTTTTCCTATCAGGAACAAATTTCGAATTTGGATATTAATGAAATAAATCATTTTAAAATATTGTTTTAGGCCAATTTTTAATAATTGGATGTAAAAATCCCAAATTTTTATAAAAACAGATAGTGCCAGTAAACAAGAAAATTATGGTCTTAAATGATTTTAGGTTTTCAGCAATTTCTGTTTATTATTGATATTTGTGCATTACTCAATTAAGATAAATTTCAATGATAAAATGAGACGAAAAAATGAAGTCACTTATTCTTCAAAGTATTTTAAAATTATAATATGTACATGAATCAATAAAATGGCAATAATAAAATGAAAAAATATATAGATAATATGAGCGTTATTATGTTTTTGAATTTTCATTTTCCAAATGTACACCCGATATTTTGGCTGCTTTTTCATTTACACCAGAGGGGTATCAAATTCATTATTTGTTTATTCACTTAATGACAACATTTGACTTTTGAGAGTGAATTCAAATTTATTATTTCTCGGGGAGTAGTCTAAAACTTTAAATAAATATACAATATAGTATGTACACTAAAGTTTCATCCTATAATAAATGTCATGAGGGGGGCACAAACTTGCCCAGTGAGGTGAAGTGAAAAGTGACAGGTTTACGTGTCAGAAATGTAAAGCGTCAGATTTGAAACAAAAAATGGATTAATTTATTATTATATGATAGAGAGATTTGGTAAGTTACTATCAAATTTGTAAGTAAGGGAAAAAAAGTAAGAAAGAAAGAAAAAATTTTTAAAAAATAAAAAGCCACTCGCTTCGCTCGCGGTTGACAAAAAGAACAGATTCGAAAAAAGATTGTATGAAATTACGAAACTAAGCCACTCGCTTCGCTCGCGGCTTAAGAAAAGAACAGATTCGAAAAAAGATTGTACGAAACTACGAAACTAAGCCGCGAGCGAAGCGAGCGGCTTAAGTAAACAACATATTTCAGATTATCGATACTAAAAATTTTTTTATTTTATTACTTTTTTTTGCTTTTTTTTAAAGCTTCTTAACTTAAATCATGGAATGTCTCAAAGACAAAAGTAGCATACAGCATGTAAAGCTAAAGAAAGATAATCATAATTAATACATTAATTTTTAATATTACGCATTTTTAGGTGCAAAATTTAAAAACATTCTAATACAATAGAGCAGTTTCCAAAAGTAGCATACAGCATGTAAAGCTAAAGAAAGATAATCATAATTAATACCTTTAAAGTTTAAAATCTTGATTTTTTTTAAAATCAAATATTTATAACTTTAATACATACAGCTTAAACCTTATACTTGTTTTCTCTTGTGAGAAAGCAATCTTACAAAGCTAACAATCCTAAAAAATAAAGAATTAAAATTTAATAATTTAATCTAAAATTAAAATCAAAATTAAATAAAATGAGTTCTTTGTAATAATACTTTCAAGGTAGGATATATTTTAGTGGGATCTATTGAGTCATCACTAACAGCATTGGTCAATCTATTGAGCATTGAAATACTCTCGATTTTTCTTTGTCTTTTTACATCAATTTCTGCGTTAGTTGCTTTTTCCATGATCCTAATAACACGGTCATCTGCTGGATTTTGATCAATTTTGAGTTTGATAACGAAAGATGGTATCACTTTTGTATAAATTTCTATAATAACATCATCAATTCTGAGATTTTTTCGATCAGGAAAATAGTCATGTTTGAGTGTTCTAAAATGAGCTTCGGCAATATTGTTAGTTGCGTCGCCTTCACGCCTGTCGCGAGCAATCCATCTTGATATGTTGTAACGCCATTGTCTGTTAAAGTATTGAGATGCTGTTGGATCTGTGTCGAGCAACTCCAGAACTTGATCATAGGCAGCATTTGCTTCTTCCTCATGTTCTGCATCTAATTTGAAGACTAAATCCTTCATCAAATTATATAATTGTTCAAATTTTTCTTGAGAAGAAAACTTACTCCGCACCAAAGTATTTGAGCTTGTGGAATGCTTTCTTCTATTGCTTGAGCTATCTGTGGAGCACAGTCCATGCTAATGTATTCTGGCTCAATTGTTACCCATCTGAGATAGGCGCACACGCAAACTTGAATGTTTTGATAAGTGTCTGGTTGACAAAAGAAATATAAAAAAGGGAAAATGTGAAAATCTTTGATTTTGCCAGTAAATGCATACAGTGGAATGTTTGATCGCAACAATTTATAGGTGCTGTCTATATGAAATGTCTTGATACTATGCGCATAAGCTTTGCCTTCAAAAGGCGCGTAATAGAAACACATATTATTGTCTGAGACTTCAAATGCAATGAGATCATCTGGAGATTCTTCTTGTACTGTCTGAACAAAGATTTGCAATGACACAACATCGTCAGGAGAATATCTAGTTTGAAGAGCATGCATTCTCTCTGCAAATCGTTTGATTGCACGTGGTTTTTGAGCGTACATCTCTGGAATGGACGGACCTGTAAGAGGAATTTCAAGATCTTTGAATGCATTTAGCTGTGCTATCGCTCTTTGATTGTCATCTGTTTGGGAGTAATGTTCTAAATATTTGCGATAAAAGACAGACGAATATTGACTTTTGTCATTTGGGGCGGAATGATCATGTTCTTCAACTATTTTGATTAGTTTGTATTTATTTTGATCCAAGATTGCAACATTAAAATGTGCAGGACATTTTGGATATTTGCAGTGGAATGAAATCTGAGATCTTTCTTTCCTGACACGTTCACCATATCCATACTGTGCTTGTATTTCTTGTTTAACTCCAAATTTACAAAGATCCATAACAGTAAAGATAGTTTCTTCTTCTAATTCCATTTGAAATTGAAATGAAAATTAAAAATTCAGAAATTTGAATAGATTTGGTCTGTAATTAAATGAGAATAGCAGTTTGTTCGTCATTGTTTGAGGCAAGAGTATTATCGGAATATTATATGATGGATTTGAGTTGCATATAAAGAGTGCAAAAGGATAAAGAGAGAAATTTTGTTAGATTAAATTATTAAATTTTAATTCTTTATTTTTTAGGATTGTTAGCTTTGTAAGATTGCTTTCTCACAAGAGAAAACAGTTAGTATCACTAAGTTGCGTACTGTGGCACTGCGCGCCTCCATACACCACTTAGCGAATTTGACACTTTACGAAACCGGTAACGTATATTTTACAACACAACCATAACACCAAATTAACCTTAAATATTTGCAAAACCGTCTGACACATAAACGACTTCACTAATGATTTCACTAACGACTTCACTAACGAATTCACTACCGTCCTCACTAAATAAAAAATAACCTTATTTTTATTTTTTTAGATTTTTTATTTCATTACAAAGACATGTCCGACTACATTTACTATGACTCTTTCCCAGAACGTTTCCGTGAACTATTCAAAACTCAAGTAAAACTGAGAAACATGCATTTTAACAAAGACAGACCCATTGACGATGAAAGAAACCCTGAATATATTACAATCCCATATGACGCAAAATTCATTGCATACATTCCTTATGGTCGCAGAGGAACGAAAACTATTTCAACAAAGAACAAAAATTATTTCTGGAGCGATGAAGAAAATTGCCTTATCTACATAAATGCATACTTAAATAAAGCTACATATTGTACAAAAGAAGGTTGGACTGGATTTGAGCTCTACATATACGACGACGATGGAAACAGACGTTGTGTATACCCATACGATAATATGTACCATTGTTTTCATCAAGCATTAAACGAATACATAGTCAGTAAGGGTCTCATTCCTGCTGAGTAGAAATGTTATATTTTTGTTCTGTCATTTATATAAAAATAAAATAAAAATAAATGATATCACCACCCTCACACGTATGAAAACATAGCACAAAAATAATGTTTATGTTAGAATGTTAGATCTAACACGTTTTCTAACCCGAGTTCTAACCTCATTTCTACCCTGTTGAATTCATTGCTTTATTCCTCACTGTCGTCTGCTTTCTCCAACTCTTCTAACTTCTTCTTAAGTTCAGCAATGTTGTCCTCATGAAGTTTAATCTTTCTCAAAATTCCTTCTTTATCTAATGGTTGCTTTATCTTTCTAAACTGAACTCTACCATCCTTCATAGTATGAATGTAAAAACCTTCTGGAATAGTTCCTGATTTAATGTATTCTACCAAAAACTTTTGTTTCATTGCTTCAGTGACTTTAGTCGTCATTTCAATCAAATAAAATTTTAATATTAAATAAAAATAACGTTATTTTTTCAGTAAGGAAACGCAGGAGTTTTACGATTTATTTGTGGTGTAGGTTCTGGTTTAAATGTTGGAGTCGGTTTTGGAGTTGACTTTTGAACAGGAGTTTGTAATTCCATAGGTTCAGGAGTCATTGAAGGTGTTGTTTGTGAAGGCGTTGGTTTTGGCGATGGTGTCGGAGTTTGTTTAACTTCAGCTACTTCAGTATTATTTACAACATTTGCTTTATTTCTTTTCAACATCATTACTGCTCCTGCTGTAGCTAGCAAACCTAGTGGGAGACCATATTTTATATAAGGACTTGACCAAATGCTATTTTTGACAGGAGCTGGTGGAACACCTAACCTTGGTGAGACTGCTCTTTGCCATTGTGCAGCTCGTAAGAAATATTCAATAGGTGCTCCATAATCGTTTGGTAAAGTTTGTTTCATAGAT